GGGATTGCCATTCTTCTCAGAGTTAGCCACAGTTTCAATGTCTTTGCATCGTCAATGAAACACAGATAGACATTCCTCTGGTATATCCTAGTACCATGATCTCTTCTAAACCCAGCCTGCACATCTGGCAGTTCTCTGTTGATGTGCTATTCCAGTCATTTTTTTATCATTTTCAGCAGAATCTTGCTTGCACATGATATTAATTATTCAATAATTTCTGAATTCTGTCAGATTACCTTTCTTTGAAATGAGAACAAATATAGATCTCTTCCAGTCAGTTGGCCAGGTGTTTGTCCTCCAGATTTCTTGCCACAAATTGGTGACCTCCCCCCAGGGCAGCATCTATTTTTTGCAATATGTTAATTGGTGTGCTGTCAACTCCTGCGGCCTTGTTTTCTGCCAATTCCTTCAGAGCAGCTTGAACATCCTCCTTCATCATCATCACAGGCTCTTGGTCATACTTTGTTTCATTAAATTCTTCTGTGTCAGCCTTTTTTTTTGTACACTGACTCTGTATACTCCCATCTTCTTTTAATGCTTTTTGGACCATTTAATAATCTGCCCTAAACATCCTTAAGTATTGCAACTCAAGGTTTTAATTTGTTCTTCAGTTCCTTCAGCTTAAGAAATGTCCTTAAAAGATACTTAAAAGAAAAAAGAAATGTCCAGCGAGTTTGGTCCTTTTGGTTTTTTTACCCTAGCTTTTTGCACATTTCATTATAATACTCTGCTTTGTGGAACAGAACACCAACTATTCACATGCAAGTTCAAGCTGAAGCTAAAGAAGGTTAATTCAAATCCACAGGTACCAAAATTTGACCTTTAATCTATTCCACTTGAATTTCAAAACCATCTCAGGAACAGATTTGAGACCTTGAACACTAATGCACGAAGACCAGATGAGCTGTGGGAAAATACCAAGAATATCATGCATGAAGAATGCAAAAGGTCTTTACAAAGACAGAAAAGGAAGAAAGGACTAAGATAGATGTCAAATGAGACTCTTAATATTGGACGAGAGCATGGAGAAGCCAAAGCAAAGGGAAGACATTAAGGAGCTGAACAGAAGATTTCAAAGGGCAGCACAGGGAGACAGAGATTAAACCAGATAAGCAAAATGTGCTCTGAAGCACCCAACTGGCCCATGATAAACACATATATCCTTGCAACATACAGTGGGGAAGTGCAGGCTTTTCTTTTCATATAATGCTGGATTTGATTGCTTATGTTTAGTTGTTAATGTATTCTGTCCCCATACCTTTTCAATCTGTAGGCAGAACAGATCATCCAGGATGCTGGACTGTACAAGGAGGAATGTGGCATCATGATTGGTGGAAGATTCATCAACAACCTGCATTATGCAGATGACACAACCCCACTGCTTGCTGAAACTGAGAAGGATCTGAACTGCTTGCTGTAGAAGGTCA